CAGGTTGACAGACAGATAATCAAAGCTGACAGAATAGCGGAGCCCCTCAGAAGGCAGCCAGGGTGCAACGGCACATATGTCCAATCCCACAAGGAACTTGAGGGGATGGCTAAGTGAGAAGCTGTTTACTTCTCATAAAGAATCTTCTTTTCTGGATAAAAATGAGGTGGTGAAAATCATAAGGCAAACAATGATGCCTCTCTGAATCAAATACCTAACTCTTCTATTTTTTTTTCTCAGAAACCAAATGTTAGGGAAGAAAAGACAAAATATGTTAGACACATATGTTAAACAAAGGTGCTAAACATATGGATTTTGACATATTTAATCCTGAACTAAAACAATTTACTCCTGTAATGCATCCAATTTCTGGAATTACTAAGTTCATGGTTTCTTTGGGTATGCCTATGTATGCAAATGTATACATTTTCCTTAAAATCTCAACATTTAAAATTATTGAAACCTTTTTACTGAGCCACAAATCCTGTAGTTTTGTAGCATACTCACTGATCTTGGTTGTCAGCTTGACTGGCCCTGGAATCAACTAAGAGACTTGCTTCTGTACAAGTCTGTAAGTGTGTTTTCTGGAAGGAGTAACTGAGGAAGAAGACCCTCCCCCAGAGTGAATGGCACCTTCCATGCCAGCCCAGACCTCCAGAGTTCCAAGGGAAATGATGTTGATTTCCACCTGCTCCACTTCCCTCCATGTTGATCAGTGCATCGACTCTCCTGTTTCTGGCACTGCCGGTGCCATGGCCTGTTGACATTGAGAATCTTAACATTGCCAAGACTGGAAGCAAACTGCTCTCCCAGAATCCTCCAAACTTGCAGTGGTACGTTGATACTACTAAAATATTCCAGCTTATAGAATAAATAGCCACTGAGTTCTAAGCCCTTCCAGTATACAGCCATTGCTGTTCTAACCAAGTCATATCATATAAGCCAATCTTATAAAGTCCCTTTGTTTATATATACATACTATCAACTCTATTCCTCCCTGACTAGCATATTTTTATTGTCAGTACAATGCCGAAGTCCCCATATGAGCAAGGATACTTAATATTATCTGTGAAAGAACTGTTTTGAGAATCATTTTCAGACCATATTTACCAAGAGATTCGTGAGTTTTCAGCTCATTATCTTGGAATTTAGGTCTTCTGGCCTATTATAATTGTCTTGGCTATGTATGTATTCTTAACCAAAGCTTCTTTAGAGCAAACAATTCTCTCAGGTCCGATAGTCCTTCATTCAGTCATCTCATCTAGGAAACTATTGGGTTACCTTCAAATTTATCCTCTTTTGTATTTTCTATATTTACGCTAAGGCAAAAGAGTTTAGAATTCTACCAGATAGGAGGTGCTTCCTCAACAGGTTTTATGTGCTGAAGTCTTGGCCTCTCACAAGAGATGTTATTGAAGGAAGAGTGGACTATGATTCATCAATGAATTATCTACTGAAGGATGTACAATCTGAGGGCATTATTGAGGATTTGGGCAGTAAGGTGAGGTTGGAGGAAGTAAGTCAAGAGGGCATGCCTTAGAAGGGCATGTCTTGTCTAGCCTCTTCATCAGTCTGTGTATCTGCTTCCTGACTACCATGAGGTGAGTAGCTCTACTCTGTGTCAGCTTCCCACCACAATGTTTCTGCCTCACTGAAGTCCTAAAGGCGGTGGAGCCAGACAAGTATGGACTGATACCTCTGAAACTGTGAGCAAAAATCAAACTTCCTCTATATAATTTCCTGTTACCGGCGTGTCAGAATAACTGAGCACTAACAAGCTCCCCTTTCTCACCCACTATAAACCAGTCCTCCCCTCTAGGCTCCTATGGAGTCCTGGCCTCCAGCTGCTCTTCCCTGCTAGGGATCTTTACTTTCCTTCTGATTTGAGTTACTAAAGGCTCTGTCAAAGTTGTTTACCAGCTCTGCTTCATGAATTTGCGTGTTGTTGAAATAAGAGCGGCGGCGGGGCTGCGTCCCCAACACCCCGGCCGCTTGGCTAGCTTATGCCCGAAATAACAACACACAAACTGTATTCATTTAAAGAACTGCTTGGCCCATGAACTCTAACTAATTCTTGCACCTGGACTAGCCCATTTCTATCTAGCCTCTTCTAGGCTAATTCTCACATATTAATTTAGCCCATTTCTAATCATGTGTGTAAGCACGCCAAGGTGCGCTTACCGGGAAGATTCTAGCCTAAGTCCATCGTGGGTTGGAGTTGCCTGGGAGAGCTGAGCATGGCGTCTCTGCTCCAGCAGAGCTGTCGGGTCTCTCCGGGAGCAGAGCAGAGTCTGACCTCACTTCCTCTTCCGCCCAGAATTCTATTCTGTTTACTCCTCCCATCTATGTTCCAAGCTGAGGCCAAGCAGTTGGTTTATTATAACTTAACCAATGAAATCAACAGATTGATATATGACACTCCCACATCACTTCCCCTTTTTCTGTTTAAACAAAAAAAAAAAAAAAAAAAAAAAAGAAGGCTTTAACTTAACATCCAAAGCTCTAGAAATGACAGAGACATCTCGCTGCCTGGACAGTCACCCAAAGTTCCTCTGTACCGTTGGGGCATCCATCTTCGGCCTACAGGCCCATAGTTTCCAGCAGACATTTCCACAAAGCAGGAAATTTCAAAGGCAGTCACTATCTGCTTGTCCTGAAGAATGTCTTGCAGACTCTTTCATGAATCAGGAACCCCGAAAGATCATCTCACCTTTAGGCAAGTTCAGCAGTCCTCTCTCTGCGGGTTCTCTGTGTCCAGTTTATGCAATAGTCCAGGCAAGAGCAGTTTCTTGCCCAAATGGCTATCAAACTCCATAAGGATCCTCTTCGATGCCCATCTTCCTCTTGAAGTAGATTGGTGCTGCCAGGAGCAGAGTGTCTCATTGTCATGAAAAGTCCTAAGTTATTAAAACATGTAAAATGCCATATTCTCTAGCCTTTGAAAGATATGAAGAATGCCTATCTAAAATATATCTATGCACATCTAGAAAATCTTAACTAACATAACTACAAGCTTAACTACTATTAATGATTATTCATTAACAACCTATATACATTCAAAATTGACCTTAAATCTCTATCAATAAAGCAAAATCTATACTAATGCAAATTATTCATATCTATATCATATCCCCCTTTAAATGTAAAAGAACATTTATAAACAATATTTGGGAACATGGGCGCAGTTTTTTCTCTCCAAACTGCTTCCTGCTGAATGGGGGCGTCGTTAATTAGGTCTTTCATGGTATAACCTGTGTGCTAGTTTCATCTCAGTTGGCAGTTGAGCGAAGCAATTTTCTGAAGGTATTCACAGCAACCGTTCAGGAGGGCGTGGTCCATCATACCATATCGGAATAGAAGAAATGAACAGGGTCTCATCCTCTGTGAAAACAAAAAAAGAAACTCCTTTCCAAAGTATCATGTCCTTAGATCCAAATTTCAAAGTCAAGGCATCAAAATCTCTACGATGGATTAGTTCAGCAGCATTTATAAACAAATATCTTTTAGCAGCTGTTGCTCCTTCCTCAGCATTCAAACAATTCAAAGAGAGCATAATAGTATACAGTATCAAGATTCTCTGTGTATTTTCCATCTTTGTACGCTTTATTTTAACCTCTATTTCGTTTATTTTTACTTTTATATTCTCTGTATCTCTTTGACCTGGAATAACTCTGTAGACCAGGCTCTCCTTGAACTCTCAGAGATCTGCCTGTCTCTGCCTCCCAGGCATTGGGATTAAAGGTGTTTGCTACCACACCTTGAACTCACAGAGATCTGTTTGTCTCTGCCTTCTAGGCACTGGGATTAAAGGCGTGTGCTACCACACCTTGAAGTCACAGAGGTCAATCTCCCTCTGCCTCCCAAGTGTTGGGATTAAAGGCGTGTACTACCACACACAACTTCTCTTTTTCTTATTTTTTTTTAAGAACTTTTAACTTTTAGCTTGCATATATTTTTAACACACTGTAAATCATTTAAACATTTTCTTTGTCTTTGAATCTCTTTACTGTATATCTCTCTTTTTCTGACCACACGAGCCTTTAAATTACTGAGCAATATGAGTAGGATTAAAGCCGTGGCTTTGCCAGCTAGATCCAGTCCATTCCTTAGCTTTCCAGCCTCATGGCGGAGATACAGGCTGTAGCCATGTTTATAGCCACAATTCTATGGCGTTTCAAGGTCCCTGCCAGCCAGCGAGCTACAACAGACAACAGTCAAGTCCTCTCTCGGTAGTTGGCCCTCCTGCCTCAGTCAGAGTTTGCCCTGGCAGGACGGCCCAGAAAGCCGGCATTTTTAAACAGCACAACTTTTTTCCTGCTACGGCTGAAAACCGAAAAGCATGCGTTCAGCTTTTCACCAACACCGTTTAAGTGTTTCGTGGCAGGACCTCTTAATGAGCTGCAGGGTTTTGCAGCTGAAGCTGAGTCAGGAAGCCTCTCTTAGATGAGAGCGCTTGCTTGCCTCTAGCAAGCGGAGCAGACCCAAGAAATTTCTGCTACCAAGAAAACATGCTTCACTCCATTCTTTCCCAAGCTTTCTCAGGCTTTTTGTGGTTTCAGTTAGCCACACGTCTGGGCGCCATCTGTTGAAATAGGAGCGGCGGGGCTGCGTCCCCAACACCCCGGCCGCTTGGCTAGCTCATGCCCGAAATAACAACACACAAACTGTATTCATTTAAAGAACTGCTTGGCCCATGAACTCTAGCCCTTACAGGCCAATTCTCGCACCTGGACTAGCCCATTTCTAATGGTGTGTGTAAGCACCCCAAGGTGCGCTTACCGGGAAGATTCTAGCCTAAGTCCATCGTGGGTTGCAGCTGCCTGGGAGAGCTGAGCATGGCGTCTCTGCTCCAGCAGAGCTGTCGGGTCTCTCTCCGGAAGCAGAGCAGAGTCTGACCTCATTTCCTCTTCCGCCCAGAATTCTATTCTGTTTCCTCCTCCCATCTATGCTCTAAGCTAAGCCAAGCAGTTTCTTTATTGCTCAGCCAATGAAATCAACAGATTGATATATGACACTCCCACATCAGCATGTCATCCTTGTGCAGGGGCCATGCTAGTCTCTGTATCATTCCAGTTTTAGTATGTGTGCTGCTGAAGCAAGCACGTGTTGCCTTGGCCTTGAGGATCAGAGGATAAGGTTTTCACCTGTTGGCCCACCTGACTGTTGGGTATATAAGCCTCCATGGTGCTATTGAATAGAGGGCTTCTTACCAGTGACTAGAGGTCCGTGTCTCTGTCTTTCTGTCTCTGTCTGTGTGTCTCTGTGTGTTTCAACCTCCAGCCCCTTGCCCGAAGCTCGGAATCTCGCGAACTGTATGGTAGCACATAGAGCTCAGACAGGTGTTGTGCGCTGCACTCCTATGTGAAAAAAAATACTTTAGCAAGTAAATAAAGAAGTGTTGGGTGTACATTCTTTTATCTTCCTTTTTTCCAGCTTTCTGGTCTAAACACCAAACCACTTAAAGCATAATGTTAATCAAATTATTCTCATATAGAAAGACCTCCAGGCCACCTCTTTCTGAAGTATGACCTATTCTGCTAAGCAGCAATATCTCTGGTTCCCATTCACCTTTCCAATATTCTCCTGTAATAATGTCTTACACACAAACTTTATGATCAGCCAAGCTAAGTTATCATCTAATTACACACGCAAGGACTTCCGCCCTAACCAGGCATCATGTGACTTTTCCTGCCAAGTTGTGAACAAGGAATTGCAGGTAGCTTGACTGGCACTAGAGTCTTGTCTCCTAAAAACTGTTACTGCTTATATATTTCCCTGAAGGGGAAACGCAAATATTGTGACTCAAGAGCTTCCTGAGCTTGTAAGCCTGATTTGCTTCCTGGGCCTTTTAAACTCTTCCTGAGACTTAAACTTGCAGGGGGAAAAAACAATACCAGGTAAATCCCCACTGGAAATTACCAAATCACCAAAAGCAATACCAGGTAAATCCCCACTAGAAATTACCAAAACACCAATTAGTTCATTGTAAAAAGTTACAGGCAAAATTCACTTATCTTAAAATGAAGTGTATAGCTTTGCATATTGCCTTCTCTCCAAGAGACGAATCAACAAAGAAAATGTCACACATTCATATCTCCCAAAACAGGCTACTTATAATCTGTACAGCATGTCAGCAAACAAGGCGCCACCAGGCCAAAACCAACTGAAGACTATTTTTACATTGCCTTCAAGCTGAAAATGAGTTTCATACTTTTAAATTGTTGAAAAAACTTAAACATAGAATAATATGTAATGTACATGAACATTACTCATTTATTGAAGCACTATCATGGTTCATTCTGTTATGTAACTGGTTTTATGTCCAGCAAGATTCCTATTATTTAAAAAAAAATAGCTGGCCATCTAGCAATCATATTTGAACATTCCATAAAGAAAGCCTTCCTCTTCATTTCACTCTTCCACTTACAGGTACTCAACGTCATTTGGATAGCTTTGCATTTTGACTCAATTTCAATTTTGATACAATTGTCCCAATCTCTCTCTTTTCCCCGCCTCTCTGTCTCTTCAAACCAAAGTGGTATATCTAGGATGCAGCTCTTTGAATAGCAAAATCATCAATCCATATCACTTCATGGAAAAGGACAAGATGTCCCTGAAAGAAAATGCAATTGTAGGCTTAACTCTGTCCAACTTAACTTTGGCAACACTGTACAGATCCTGGCTACTTGAGGGGTAATCTTTTCTATCAATTAAAACAGGCATATATATATATCTACATATATATGTATATATATAATCCATATACATATGGATCCTTCTAAGATGATCAAATGAGCAACAACATATATTATAAAATATTGTCATGGAATGTATTTCACACTTTTGGAACCGTGTAGATTTTAGCAATAATTTTCTATTCCTTCTTTGTTTTGAATCTCTAAGACCTGTCGGAGCTGTCAGCAGTGCATACCAATTGTTTACAAAACAGATCTCATTCGCAGGGGAACTAGAGGCCTGATCCAGTACTCTGTGAAGCTGAAAAGGGAAGGTAAAAAATAAAACTAGATGAAACAATGACAGTTGCAGATTTTTACTTGAAGTAAAATTTAAAGAATAAATAAGATGTCAGCAGAATATATGATTTCCTTTTTGAATAAAGGCTTCCATTCGGAAGTCATGTCACAACATTCTTGGGATATGAAACCCATTTTTAGGAAGATCCTTGAGTTGAAACAAAATTGATAAATAATGGATGGCAAAACGTCAGCATCTATTGTAATTTTCTTTTGTCTCCTTCACTTTCTGGTTTCTGCTACCTCATTTATAGCTCTTAAAATTTGGCTGCCACATTTAAAGTAAGTTCATGTCTAGTCACCCAATTCATTTCAAAAGTTTCCAATCATCTCAGTTGGGCTTTTCAATATCAGTTGCAAAGAGAATTATGGATACACACCTGTATTGTCATCAATAAATCAAAGACAGAGTTGAGCTGTACATATGGTGTATTTTAAATATCTATGAAAAGAAAGTTAATAGAAAAATATTCCTTATTACCTAACTTCGTTGTTCAAATCCTTTGGTCTGTGAAATGGCATTCTCTCTAAATGTGGAGGAGAGAGCTATAGTTTCTGTTTCCTCAGAACTGATTCCTCCCACTTTGCTAACCGCACTTCCGCTCCCACTCAGCCTCCATTCACAGACCACATGGGTGCAGGGCTAAGTTCACTTTTTTTTTTCTGGAATAAAATGTCTTACAGCCCTGTCCATCAGATGATTTCCTTCTCTTAGAGAGTTAATTGTTTATAGCACCCTCAGAACAAAGCTCAAATAATGTCATGCTTAGTCTGACCAGGTAAGAAGCTAATGCTACACAGTAAAACGGGAGTCTCTTGGTGAAGGGAGCCACCACTAAAATGATGGCACAGTGGAAGAAGGGGAGAACATCACCATGTGAAAATCATTTCAGCCTTGTTCTCCCTGAGGAAACATACCTTTCACATTGCAAATTGATAAATATCCTTTAATTCACTCCCACTCTTCGTGTCCCACAGAAACATCAATCTATCAACATATATGCAAAAGCCCTAGCACAGACCACGCAGGCTCAGTGACTGCTGCTTCAGTCTCTGTGAACCCCTACAAGTTCTGCTTAGTTGGTGTCTGCGAACCATATTCTCCTGGTGTCCTTGACCCCTTTGCATCAGGAATATTTTGAAATTAGGTTTAGGAATGTATGTGCTGATGCAGAGGTCAGGAGTGGAGCAGGGAAGACCTATAGCTAAAAGTCTCTTTATAGGAGACCGGGTAAACACCTCTAAGATGACAGACAAGTGGTGAGTACCCAAGAAAGGCAGAATCAGCCAGCTAGAGCCTGGAGAACATTGAGTGTTCTGTGCTCTCCAAGTACTGTGAGAGACATCACCAAGGAGCTGTCCTCCATGTGCTTCCAATGCTTGATCAAGAATTCTTAAAAGGGGAAGGTGAGGGAAAGGAGCCTGTTTCCAATTCATGGCTTAAGGACATCTTAGCCTGCTTGACAGAAGCCTGAGTGTCAAAATCACTTAATTTCAAAGAGCTGTTGCATTCAAAGATGTGTCCAAAAACTGTAGAATGCAATTTGAAAAGCACTTTCTGGCTCCCATAGCCACTGAATGAACTGGGAATATAGAACACACTTTCTGGAATTTTAGTTTGCTTGAAGATGAGGATTTCTTCTGCCTGCACACTGGCCATATCCCAGAGTCCCACCTAATTCTACAGTGAACTGATCAAATATGAAAACAATTTATTTGTAAAATATTTTGCTCGCTCATTTTGCATGAATTTTTTCCAACTAAGTATATTGTTTTCTGCTGTTGAGTTTATTTTCTGATTCATATCAAGAGACATTCCTCCCAAACGCAAAGCATGTAAGCTCCTAATTTATGCATATTTGCCTATATTAATTTGATATAACTTATTTATTTTAAATACATCATTTTTGTTAATTCTTTGAGAATGTCATACACACACACACACACACAATGAATTATACTAACCCCATTTTTCCCTCTAATCTCCCCAGATCCATTTCCACTTTCTCAGCTTCACATCCTTTTATATAACATGCTGAGCCCCATCATCAGAATATGGTTCACCTGGAGGGAGCCATTCTCCTCAAAGAAAACTAGCTCACTCTCAAGTAGCCGTTAATTGTCTACACACTCTTGAGTGAGGGATAGGGGCTGCTGACCCCTCATTCCCCTCCATGCTAGATCAGCTTGATCGTGTGTAGGTCTGATGCAGGGAACCATAGCTGCCATGAGTCCTTACGTGAAGTAGTCCCATTGTGTTCAGAAAATACTGTTTCTGGACGATTCTCTGAACCTCTGGATCTTTAGAATCTTTCCACCTTTCATTCTATGCTATTAATTCCGTGAGCATCGGGGGTAAGGGTGTAATATAGACATCTCACTATAGGATAATTAAGGATGAGTACTCCAAAGGTACTTCTTCTCTGAACTTTGATCAGCTATAAACTTCTGCGTTAACCACTATCTATAGCACAAACTTTTCTGATGAAGTCTAAGAGCTCTGATGAAGTCTGAATCTATGGATTCAGAGACAAGAATTTGGAGGGCAGTTTGATACTATGTTCTTCTAGTAAAATGTTAGAATCAGATTCACACCTTTGGTGCCAATGAGCTCTACAGCCATTGTTTCTTAGGCGTATTTACAATACCTGATATGTGTTGCAAATTACTTCTTTTATGTTTGTATGTGTGAAACCTGAACCTGGCACCTCACCCATGCTAAGCAAGATGTATTCTCTGAGCTATAACTGCAGCCTTTATTTTAATTGTTTTATTTGTGAACATAGTCTTAAAAAGTTGCTCATGGTGGCCTTGAACGCACACTGTAACCTAGGTTGACCTGGAATTTACAATTTTCCTTCCTTTGCCCCTCAAGTAGCTAAGATTACAGAAAGGGATGGATATATCCCCAGAAATAGATTATATAATGCTTTATTGACCTTGAATTTTCTTAACGCTAATGAGAAAAGGATAACAGCAGCAGAGAGACATTAAATAATAGAAAAGTCTTCAGAATTAAATCAGCCAGTGTATTTCAAGGATGCATTGACCTCACAATGGAAGCCAGAA